ATATTTGATCGGTTGCCAAAGAATATTTTTATAATAGGATAAAAATAAGATAAACCATTAGTCGAGAGTCTAAAACATAGTTTATTTTATGTCTGAATTAGGTCAAGTTTATTCACTAAAAAGGTTAGATCAAGACTTCTCTAAAAGTCTATCTATTACATAATATAATATTATGTATAATATTATTTTTAAGGTTGTGTATTTATTTTATTTTGAGTTCAATATTTATTATAAGAGAGACTTTTAATTAGACTTAAAGAACTTTAAATAATAGACTAAATTAAGTAAATAGGACAAACTTAGGCATTAAATATAAAAAATAGAATAGACTCAAGCTTTTTAAAACCTAACTCTACCTAGCCTATCTGAATAATATATATATATATATATATATCAACTATCAGTGTGTATAATAAACATAGACTATCAAGAATTGCTAATTTTCTATTATCACCATGAGCATGTCTCGATTAATATGCCTCCGTTAATTTGACAGGAAAATATCAGGCCATTGAATTGGTCGTTAGAAAATGTAATGCAGGGTCGATATTTTAACTATAAAAAACACGTGAAAAAAGTAGGGGAGGTTCCAAGTTCAAGACCACCTCGGATCCTCTCCCACGTGTTTTCATCCAGCTAATAATATTCTACAAAGATTGAATCGATCATTACACAACAATGAGGAAGGAAAGAAAACGTAATGCACGATTGAGATTTTAGCTGAGACATGCAAGGTGAAGACCATCTTGGATCTTCTCCTGTAGATTTTCATTCAACCAATATTCCACAAAGATCTCAACCATTGAATCAGTCATTGGGCGAGATTACAATGTAATTCATGATCGAGATTTTGACTACAGAGAAAACATGTATGAGCTGGTATGACATAAATTCTCAGCAGTAAATTTTTTGAATAATTTGGGTGCTTAACAGAAATTACGATTTTCATCCCTAGTCCAAAAGTAACATTACCTACAAATTGTGAAGAAAGAAAGAAAACGCATGAAAAGAAAAACCTTCGTGGGTAGGGTGGGCCACTGGGCTAACAAAAAATGTAAGTCCGTGATACAAAAGGGATAACGACGTGCACATTGCAGGCTAACAACATTAAGAGCAATAGGAGAACGTCCAAATGCTAGCCTGTAACAATGGAATCTAAATGCCTCCAACTGCACAGGATTCTCATTATTGTAATGAATGGAAGAAAAAATAAATAATATGTAAGCAAACATAACCGTAAGGAAAAGCTGGTGTCCAAGAACCATAGAAACTTTAACGTTGTGCAGGAAATAATAGGTGTACTAAAATTTGTTAAGAAATAAATAACTGAAAGGGATTAGTATTTTTGTGGCATTTACATTAGATTCTCATATGGAGAGAAGGGCACAAAAGAAAAGTGGAGAACAGAATCCTTGCTTTTGTTGTAGAACCACTCAGTGTAAGGCCAAATCTCCTAATCTTACTTCACTCAGAATAGGAAAATGCTTTTTGGAATCAAATTAACAAAAAGAGAAGCATAATGTATTTATTCTATTAAGTGGGTCGAGTCATCTGTATAAAATTTTCCTTCAAGGAAGGATTAAAGATTTTCAGCATCTGAATTGTTTACTCTGTTGTGGATTTTTCCAAACGTAGCTTTTTATCATTCTATTATTATAATGCCATCAGGGTAAGAACTAATGTCAGGATAATTCCACCGAATATGAATAGATTCGGAATGTGTTAAAAACTAAATATGAAATGATCGTGCCTAACTCATAATTTGAGAACTTTCGAAATGACATGATTTTCTAATCCTTTCAGCGATATAAATGCGGAATGGAATCAGATTTTATTTTTATTTTAAACTGCAGGTGATTTTAGCTGCGAAAATTAATTTTAGGCATGGTAAAAATTATATATTACAAAATAGCGTTTTACTGTTTAGTCTCCTAAAAAAGAGTGTATTGAAAATCACGTTGACTGTATTGAAAATCATGATATAAGTGCATTAATAAACACATTTTAATAGATAAAAAATTACTTTTCATTCCTTAACTATATCCTAACTGTATGACTTCGTATCTGCCTACAAAAAATAACTCGAAGTTTGAATCAGGGATAAAGACATACGAGGTTAATTTTTATGACCAACACTAATCAGAATGCATCTGTCATGAACTATTTCTTTAATAAAAAAACAAACCCAAAGGATTAATGTTCGTAATGACTAAAACACTAAAGAAATTTCTTTCAATATTCCTACCTAATGTGAGACTTTTTCACTCATACTTGTATCTCAACAGTTTCAGACTAGACACTTGCGATGGAAATAATAAAGTGGCTTGTATTTCTGCAACATACATAGTTGGTCAAAATTGGTGAGAAGCGAGAAGTGGTAAACCAGATAAAGAGGGGGCCACATGGGGAATAATGTATGGGCATCGCAAGTTAATTAACCACACTATACCTTTTACTTCTATAAGGGTAAAATCAATTCCCCAAGCAAATATGGCACCAACACCGCAATGAAATCAGGAACAAACATATAATTGTCCCAAAAATATAAGGTTCAGAAGGTACCAACATTCAATTCTTGAAATTTACTCCTGGGTACTTTTGGTACCTCGGCAGCATTTATTCACTGAATATATAAATAGAAATGCAGTTTACTGTATTTACAACCTTGAACATATGAATGGTATATATACCTTGCCGGCTTGCTCAGCTTCCGTGGGACAACCCGAAAGAAATGAAGGAATTTGTATGAGGGTGGAAGGCAAAACATGTCTCCCGAGGGCTATGTCTTTCGACATCATGGGTGATGTGTGCTCTAACAGTTCAAAGGAAGCTGCTCCAAAGTAAAACACCCACGAGAATCTAAATAGATAGATTCCTCACCAGCACTGTACCAATAATGTACCCCATGGATCAATTCACTCTTTTCCATATTTCAAACAGGAAAAACGAATCTTGTGCTCAGCACAGGAGATGCAATTGCGTTCAAGATGAAATTTCTACATCAACCACTATTTTGATGCAGTAAGAGCAATATTATGCAGGGAATATAAAATTGAAGCATCTTTCCTGGTAACTCATAATACATGCTTGACTTGAAATCCTGAACATGCAAATCTAAATAATAATTGTAATTTAGTCTCCTAAAAGGTTAAAAAGTATCATTGCATCAGTCACGAATTTCAACAACCTATGCAAGATTGGGATATTAATCCATTATATTCAAGGAAACAAGCTAGGGTCAACAAGACAATAACTTTACCATAGTGCTAAGGCTCACCCTCTCAATTACCAAACAGTAATAGTTAAATAAATAACTAAAAGTACAAAAGCTATAGGAAAATCATTAATTGATTAAGGTTTAGAAGCTAACCTGGTTCAAAGAATTTCTATAGCTTGTAGATACAATATGACTTTCCCTTCTAGGGCATTTAGCGATATGTGACATGAGGCCAGGAGAAATTCTGATAGGATACGAAGTGTTCCTCCAAATAAGCACAAAATTTGCAAAAAAAAATAAAAGACTCAGCTGAATTTTAGATATTTCAGTTGATTCTCAACTTCTTCACGGACACCAAAATGGTGTCCAAGCAAAAGGTTATTCATATCAACATACTATTCAAATACATACTCGAAGATGTCTGTTAAAATGTGTCTCTAGGGAAACATGGAATATCTTCATCATTTGAGGGACAATACCAACAATCCTAGATAATTGGAATATAAACACTATCTCTCAATACAGAAAAATGAAAAAATATACACCAGTATTGTAGGATTATGGGAATTAAACAGCTATCCATTTCTTGCAGATGATTAAAAATTTAAATAAGTGAATAAGAAGAAATAAAACAGATTAAGTATTTAGGTGTCAAAGAGTATTAACAACAAACTATTTTTTGTCTTCACTTCGAGGAAAGAAAACATCCTTTTGAGAACAGTCATGTTAGTAACAGGCCCAATTAGGGAAGTATATGCTAAGAAGAATGACCCAAAGAGCCAAGTAGGCCAGCCTGTATTAGTTAGGCCCTTTGTTAGAGAAGTTGTTAAGAGTTACATAGTTAGCTCTCTAACTGCAGTAGCAGAGCTACGATATAATTAGAGGAAGAGAACATAAGTGAGTTCAATTAGTTTTGGGTGTGAGCACAGGCACTCAAATTCCTGGGGAAAACATCATTACACATCATTCTTGCACTTCTGGACCCTGGATAACCATTGATCCAGAGTTGGAGGATGATACTCAATGAAATTTATTTTCTTTCTGCTAATCTCTATATTCCTGAACCAGTATCTATCAAGTTAATAGAAAAAAAATTGTACCTATAATAGCAAGAGAAAAATATTGAGGCACCACTCAAGTTTAGCCACTGAAAGCAGATGTGTTGTAGAATTTCATTTCAGATAGTTTCATGCCCAGTCACCAATAGGCATAATTTTGAAAGGAAAATAAATATGCATTCATGTGTCATCTGTGTGATATAAGACATTAAAATGTATAAAAGCAGAATCATATTCATGTGACCTAAAATAGATTAACATTGGAATAAATTTTGAGATGAATATAACAAACCAAGTGATATCAGTAATTAATCATTTAACAAATGCAACTCAGGCATGGGTTTACACAAGTCAGTATACACATGGATCAGTTAATTTACAGGTTACAGTTGACTTAGTTATGAACTCCTTCAGTACAGATGCTCCAATCATTTCAATCTAATCAGAAAAAGTGTAAGTTGTTACTCTTATATGCATTTACTATCAGACATAGACTTAAAATGACATTCTCCTCAATTCTGTGATTTTATAGATTAGAGTTCACCGCTCTGTTGCCCAACAATTCCTCAGACCAATTTTGTGCATCCCAGAAGGCAAAAATGTCTAAGAAGTATATATGGAATTGTGTTCCTGGTAGGAACCAAATCAGTGAAAGAGAAAAAGAACAAAAGTTTTATTATTGAGTGAATTTCCCAGGTTATTCAAGAGAACCTAGACTCTCCCTTCTCTCAGAGTACAATCCTTTCTCCAACTGACAATCTGTCTTTCTTTCCTCTCTTTTGTTCTATTTATAAAGTGATACCCTCTCCTAGTTTCAACTAACTACTTATTATAACTAACAAGTTAACGGGTTATCTAACAGTTCCATATTATAATACCTTTCTGAGAATCCTTTCTATATCTTACAGTAATTACATTCTATTCTGTTTGCAGAATTTATCTGTCTTTAGAATTAGCAATAATTGCCTTCAATCCAGCTTAGTCCAGGCATTTTTCTCAGACCACCAGTCATTTTATCCCTCAACTTCTTCACATCATCCCACCTCCCATCACCAGCATATATATTAGAAAGCATAACTCTGTAAGCATTATTGTCAGGATTACTTTCAAAAAGTTGATGAGATAACGTTTCTGCAAGCTCAGAATTTTCAAAAGAATTACAGCATGACAATAAGGCACCCAGGATGGGCTTGTCTACTGGTTCTGGTAAGGCAAGGGTGAGATTGTAAGCCTCTTCTAACTCCCCAGCACTGCCAAGAAGCTTCACCATGTAAACATAGTGTTCTGGCCTAGCTTTGATGTTACATTCATCTTCCATTCTCCGGAAAATCTCCCGGCCTTCTTTGACAAGGCCAGCATGACAACAAGCACAAAGCAGAGAAGAGAATGTGGCTTCATCAGGTACCAATCCTTTCTCCAGCATCTCATCAAATGTCCTGAACGCCTCAGAAGCACATCCATGCAAGCCGAGACCCAAAATGACTGAATTATATGAAATCACATTCCGTTCCGGCATCATCCTAAAAACACAGATTCCCAAGTGCAAAAAACCACACTTCGAATACATGTCTATGAGAGCAGAGGAGACCTTGACGTCTGACACTAATCCATGCCGAAGAACATAACCATGTATCTCAAATCCCAGTCCTATATTTGCAGTCTGTGCTACAGAAGCAATTACACTGGCAATCAAAACAGAATCCAGCTTCTTGTTTTCCATGTTCAACTCCCTGAAAAAGTGCAGCACCTTCTCATACTCCCCAGACTGAGAATGGCCAGCTATAAGAGCAGACCATGTGACCAAATCAGGATTCAAAATACTGCAAAAGACTCTATACGCCATAACCATGCACCTACACCGCGAGTACATACTCACCAGCAAACTACCAACATGAGAATCACAATCAAGCCCACTCTTTAGACTCAAACCATGCAGTCCTTCACCAATGCTCAACACTCCAGCATCAGCAACACCCACAAGCAACCCAGCTAGTGTATATCCATCAGGCTTCTTCCCAATGAATCGCATAGAGCTAAACACCTGCATCCCTACATCCCACAAACCAGAGCCCCCATAACCAGAAATCAACGAATTCCACAAAACTAAATCTGGTCCAGCAATCCCATCAAACACTCTACGTGCCTCATGAACAAGACCTAGTTTTGAATAAGCAGCCACAAGTGCACTGCAACAAATAGGGTCCAATCCTAACCCAGCAACCACAGCACCTCCATGAACAAGTCTTAGAACACCAAAATCATAGTTATCAGAACAAGCACGTATAACACAGGCATAAGTGTAATTGTCAGGACTTGTGTCACCCCCAAGCATGGTTCTAAACAGAGAGATTGCATTGAAAAATCTTTGGGACTGCGCAAAACCGCGAATCATTGAATTCCAGAGGAAGACACTTCGGTTGGTAGTTTTGTCGAACACGTGGTAGGCATAGTTAATGTCATTGTTAGCAGCATAAAGCCTAAGAATTTTAGTTGCATAAAAAGGGTCTTGTGAGAGATGGGTCGTCAAAAGCAATGCGTGTAACTGCTTCGTCCTTAAGAGGGACCTACAAACGTTGCTGAGTTCGGAATGGAGACACTGAAACTGAATAAACATTAAGATAACAATGTAAACATCAGTTGATGATCAAGAGTTAAGCATTGCCTACTAGACTGCTCGAAAACTGAGTCGGACGAGTTGACAAAAAGAAATTTACAAAAAGAAATTCACATTAAATACTATTAGAATGGGGCAAAATAGAAAGTTACAAAAAGAGTAACAAGTGGAGAAAACTTGCAACATCAGTTATGATATAGTCTGAGTGTAAATTAAAATTTTAAGAAAAATAAACAATATAAGTTTGGTATAACAAATTAAATTTTATATTGCAACAAGACAGGAATACAAATATTTAATGTGAAAAACTCTTTAATGGTTAATGAAAAATTATGAGACAAATTTTGAAAAATATTATACCATTAAAAAATTAATTATAATATCATTTTCATTCTCCCCGTATTACAAAAAAATTATAGAGATGATAATTAATGTATTTTTTTCCAAAGCCTATTTATTTATAAAGTTAAAAAGCAATAGGAACCAATCACAAGGATGTGACACATAATGTTTTCAATTTTTCAAAATTCATCCAAAGCTTGATATAGGCTAGCAATCAATCGCATTTTCACGATTTGAAGAAATTTTCAACATTTACTTGAATTTGGCATGACCCCAAAATTCTCTTCCTCCAACCAAGGGAAAATATAATTTGATCATTCACATGTGATTCATGTCAATCAACTTGCCACAAAATTGAAGTTATTCACAACTTTCTCATTACAACTTTTTATCTTTATTAATATGAATTATTGTTCTTTTAAACTATGTTTGGATGGTGCGTTTATAAGGGAAGGGGAGGGATTGTAGGGTTTAACTCCGTTTAGAAATTAATTAATTAGGAGAGATACTAATGCATCGTGTCTGATTTAAATAAATATCTAATGCATTTTCTAAGAGAAGTTATTTTTAACTTTTTTTCTTTCCTGTTCAACTTGCGTCTCCTTCTCTGAAGAAAAAAATAAACCTGAAACTCCTCTCATCAATTGAGAGTCATTTTAGAGGATAAATGGTAATATGAGGGAATGCCTTACTAATGAGAGTTTTTTATTTGTCATCCCTATTTTTTGTAGTCATCCTTTCTTCTTTTTATCATCTCAGTATCTCACCTTCATCCTCCTCTTATTATTTACCACCCTTATGTTTTCTGTCACATTCTTTTATAGCAATTGAACTCGTTGAAGTTGCTCCCTCGTAGCTGGAGTTTTGCTATGTCACTATCAGATTGGTGTTGTCTTTGACCACTTGTTGCAGTCAGAGAAAGGATGATTCAAGCTGTGAAATTTGGTTTAACTTGGCTTTGTTTTGTTTTATAATTTTAGGATCGGTAAGTTCAGTTAGTTTTGAGTGTACGCTTGTCATTCTTCTGTTTATTTATTTTTTGCACTGCTATAATGCTCTTATTATATAAATTCCTTGTTAGCACTCCTGCACAATCTTTTTTATGTTCAAACATTAGACCCAAAAAAATTCTAATGCTATTATGATTTTCTATTCTCTTACTGCAACAATTCTTGCTTGAAAGAATATCCATATTTTACAATTCCACAATTCCTTAAACTTGGCCTAATATTATGCTCAAGGCTTTAAGCTAAGTAACAAGAACAAGTTTTAATTTAAGTCGAAACAATGGATTCAATGAGTTCATACCAGTAACCACTCCCACTAAATATCTAATTAATTTAACAAAAACAAATGAATCTATATGTAAACTAATAATGCATCAATAATATTTATGCACATTTGCTGCTTTTTTACATAATTTCAATCATTTCACCAATACCGCAAAATTTTACACGTTGCTATGCCTCGATGAGAAGAAAATCTACCTAGCATGTAATGGGAATTATTCTTAAGATGTGAATGGACACTATCTCGAATCACTTGGGTACCAAATCTCCCCTCAACTAGTTAAGCACATGTTTGGTCGGAAAACAACGGAAACAGATGCGAAGTGAAGGGTTACATGGTTTCAAATAAGACAGGCAAAAAGTAGTCAAACAGTATAAAAAATCAGAGGGAAGATTTGCTTTCGAAATTGTGAAGTCGGTCGTATGAGTTGGTAATAGAGAACTCAACTCAATAAAAATAAGAACGCACAACAAATGAGAAGAAATAACGAACTGACTCTATTTAATTGAAAGCAAGAAATACAATAGGATGAAAAATCTCACTCCCAAAGCGTAAGCTCTTTTAGAATAACCACAATGGCCCTCTACCCAAATCAATCAACAAAACAGAATACCCTCCTTGGTCCTTACACCTGTTTCTAAATACAATAGAGATTCCCTTTTTTTCTCTCTCATCTAACTAACCTATTTCTCGTAGCTTGCCACGTCACTTTTTCTAGTTTTCTTCCTCTCATACATCCTTCCTCATCTACGTGTATTGGCTTCTTGGATCAATGGCTCATTAGGCCCAAATGGCTCATTACGCCCATATGCATTTGGGTTTGTATCAACACTTCCCCCTTGAAATAAAGCCTTGTCCTCAAGGCTTAACTCTAGAAATTGACTCCGAATAACCACCTCATCTTCCCGCGTAGCTTCTTCAACAGTTTTCCCTTCGACTGCACTAAGACTTGCCTTAGTGTTTCTCCTCTCTTTGTAATGTTATGCGTGGCTAAAATAATTTGAGGTTCAATCATACCAACTCAGTCACCTTCAAGTCTTGTAGGTAATTCATTTTCCACTTTATAATCCCCCACAACCTTCTTCAACAATGATACGTAGAATACAGATGGATTTTTGAGGTTGGAGGCAAATTGAGCTTATATGCCACTTCTCTTATTTTCTCCTTAATCTCAAATGGCCCATAATACCTGGCACTAAGCTTAGGACTGATTCTGCTTGTTACTGATTTCTGGCGATGCTGTTTTAGCTTCAAAAAAACCATATCTCCCACTTCAAACTTCCTTTCTTTCCGACGCTTATTTGCTTGAGTTCTCATTCTATCCTGAGCTCTCAGCAACTGGCTCTTTAATTGACACAGAGCCTCATCTCGGTCCAAGAGATCTCTTTGGACTGATTCCACTCTCACCTCTCCTTGAATGACTTGCACAATCTTTGGTGGTGGACGTTCATAAACAGCTTCGAAAGGAGTCGTTCTTGTAGACTCATGATAATTGGTGTTAAACCAATATTCTGCCCATGGTAGCCATGTTACCCAATCTTTGGGTTGATCTGAGATGAAACACCTTAAGTAGTTTTCAATACATCTATTTGTTACTTTAGTCTGTCCATCCGTCTGCGGATAATAGGCTGTGCTCATTTTTAATTTAGTTCCCTGCATCTTAAAGAACTCTTGCCAGAACGAGCTCATAAACAGCGGGTCACGATTGCTTACCACCGAATTTGGCATGCCATGGAGTCTCACTACTTCTTTAACAAAAATTTCAGCAAGTGCTTTGACTGTATAGGGGTGCTTGAGTGCCACACAATGATAGTATTTGCTCAATCTATCCACTACTACCATGATAGCTTCGTGGCCTTTGGATCTAGGCAATCCTGTAATAAAATCAAGGCTCACATCTTCCCAAATTCTATCAGGAACCGGTAGAAGTTGAATCGGACCGCCTAGGGCAGCAGTGATATACTTTTCTCTTTGGCAAACATCACAAGCTTGGACGAACCTTTGAATATCTCCTTTCATTCCCTTCCAATAGAAATTCGTTGCAGCACGTCTGTAAGTTCGATAATACCCGGAATGCCCACCCATAGGAGTAGCATAGAACTCTTCTAAAAGCCTCGGAATCCAAACTGAATTCTCTACAATGACCACTCTATTTTTGTACAACAACACCCCTTGTTTATAGGAAAATCCCAAATAGGGTCTATCTTCATTTTCTCTTTGCACTTCTTCAATTATCTTCTTAAGTTTCTCATTTTCTTGGAACTCTGTAATTAATTCTTGGCAATCAAGCCAAACAGGGATATAAATCATATTGTTCAATTCCACATAATCTCTACTTCATGAAAGGGCATCTACCCTTCGATTTTCAACTCCGAGTTTATAAACTATTTCAAAATTGTAGCCCAAAAGCTTGGCTAACCAATTTTGTTGTCCCCCTGTGGTAATACGTTGTTGCAGTAGCTGTTTGAGGCTTTTTTTATTAGAAAAAATAGTAAATTTTTGCCCCAACAGATAAGGCTTCCAGTGCTAAATGGCTAATGCCACAACCATCAATTCACGTTCATACGCTGACTTGGTTAAATTACGAGGGCTAATGGCTTTACTATAATAAGCAACAGGCTTCTTATGCTGCATTAATATGGATCCAATCCCAGTTCCAGACGCATCATATTCCAATACAAATTCCTCTTCAAAATTTGGCAAATTCAGAATGGGAGCTCTAGTTAATGTCCTCTTGAGTTCATCAAAAGTTGCTTGAGTTTTGTCATTCCACCCAAAATTGTCTTTCTTGGTCCATTCAGAGAGAGGTTTTGCTATTTTACCGTAATCTTTAATGAATTTCTGGTAGTATCCGGTTAGGCCCAAGAATCCACGCACTCCCTTGACATTCTTTGGCACAGACCACTCCATGACACTCCTCACTTTTGATGGATCAATAGCTACACCTTGAATAGAAATAATATGGCCAAGATACTCTATGCTCTCTTGACCATAAGAACATTTCTCCTTATTAGCAAACAACACTACCCTCAAAATCTCCAACACCATAGTCAGCAATTGCATGTGTTCTTCCCATCCTTTACTATACATGAGTATATCATAAAAAAAAAAAACCAATACTCCTTTTCTTAGCAAAGCATGAAATACCTCATTCATAAGGGCTTGGAATGTAGATGGAGCATTCATGAGCCCAAATGGCATAACAAGATATTCGTAATGCCCTTCATGGGTTCTAAACGCAGTTTTCGGTATATCTTCCTCCCTCATCCTTACTTGATGGTAGCCGGAGCGAAGGTCCAACTTTGAAAAATAACGAGACTCATGCAACTCATCCAATAGTTCTTCTATTACCGAAATTGGGAACTTATCTGGAATTGTAGCCTTGTTTAAGGCCCTGTAATCAACACACATACGCCACTTATTGTCTTTATTTTTCACCAAAATAACTGGGCTAGAAAATGCACTTTGGCTGGACCTAATGTGACCCACCTCCATCAGCTCTCTCACTTGTCTTTCTATTTCATTTTTCTGATCATAAGGATACTTATACAGCCTTACGTTGATAGCTTCCTGTCCCAGTTTTAGATTTATCTTGTGTTCTTTAGCATGCACCGGTGGTAATCCTTTGGGTTCCTCAAATACATCATCAAATTTTTGTAATATTGCTTCTAACGTCCGCTTTTGTTCTATTGTGAGTCCCGGCTCCTCTTGTTTTCTGCTTTCTTCCAACAACTCAAAAACTGAAGTCTGCAATGACTCTCCACGAGGAACTCCTCTCAATATTTTTGCTCCCTGTGGAGTGGTTACTTTCATCACTTGCTTCTTCCAGTCAACCACCATTTCTCCTAGAGTATAGAGTAATAAGCCAAGCCATACCCAGAATCATATCCGTATCTTTAAGATCAAACAAAAAAGCATCAATTAGGAATTCCCCTTCATCCAGCTCCACTGTAATTCCTCTACATACTCCTTGTGTCTCAATTCGATGACCATCTCCTATTAAAATCTTCATGCTTTGTGTTTTTCCTCAGCTCTAACCCAGAGCATCAACCAATTTACGAGAAACAAAATTATGGGACGCACCACTATCGACCAAGATTAACAAAGGGAACCCACCCACTTTCCCTTGTATCTTCATCGTCCTAGGACGATCCTCTCCTTTCATCATCGCCTGCAAGCTGATGGCAGTGCAAGCTCCATCTGAATTTGTCTCTTCTTCACCAAAGCTCTCTCTTGTTTGCATCTCTTCACCCTCACATTTGACCCGTAAATCATCGTTCATCAAAATAACCCGAAGCTGCTTCACCGGGCATTGGTGGAGCGGGCCATAAGATCCATCACACTTGTAACATAAGCCACGTTTTTTTCCTGTCCAGAAGGTCTTGGTAAGAGAGGTGGTGTACACCTCTGTTTCTTGGACCGTTTTTGCTTTTATCACCCCCTTCTTCTTTTGCACTTGGGCCTGGCCCATTTCTCCCTCCCCAGCTTCCACTATTTTGACTTAGGGTGGGTCTACCTGAAATACTAAAAACGGGTTGGTTTCCTGGATGGGTTTTCCCATCTCCACGTATGTTTCCCCTTCCCTGCCACAGTTTGTTGTGCCCATAAAATTCAGCTTCTATGGCTCTTGCTACGCTCATCATTCTGCCTCGTGTTAGAGGACTCGCCATGTGCACACTCCTCATTCTTGCTCTGACGTCATCCTTAAGGCCTTGGGTGAAATAAGAGAAATACTGATCATCATGTAGCTTTGGTACTTGAGCGATCAAACATTCGAAGATTCAAATGTAGTCATCCATGCTCCCCATCTGACGTAACAACGCCAATTGGTTGTATATGTTTCCTTCGCCTCTACCTCCATATCTCTCCAGCAGCTCTCTTGTCAGATCTTCCCAAGTTAGGTCTTTGTAATCGTTCAACAGTGAGTGGAAGAAGTGTATTGTCCCTCCTTCCATACATACCTGAGCAAGATTCACACGTACCGCCTCGCTTGTCTCTTGGACATTGAAATAAATTTCTGCACGAGCAATCCAACCCGCAGGATCTTCGCCATAGAATGAAGGGAGCTCTATTTTCTTCATGGATGGACGAAATTCATTCAACGCGTCACCCTCGAGTAGTTTCATACTTGGTGTTCCTCTAGATTTTCGTCCCTTTGTTCCCTACTTCTTCGATCCAGTCGACCCCTCTACTTCCTCTTCTTTGCTATCTTTCTTAAGACTTGACATAAGATTAAGCAGTTTCGATTGATTCTCTGCTGTTTCTAGACGCATATTCTCCATCTGTTTTTGGTTCTGCAGAGATTGAGTCACTAGTTTGTCAACCACCGCCTTCAATTTGGTAAATTCTCTGACCACATATTCCACTCTCATATCTTCTGAGTCAGATGTTTCTGGTTCCTCTTGTGCGTTGTTCTTCTTGGGAGGCATTCTCTCAGTTAGATGAAATTATCCAGCAGGTCGGACTAATTAATAGAGAACTCAACTCAATAAAAATGAGAACACACGACAAATGAGAAAAAATAACGAATTGATTCTATTTAATTGAAAGTCAGAAATACAGTAGGATGAGAAATCTCACTGCCCAGAGCGTAAGCTCCTTTAGAACAACCACAATGGCCCTCTACCCAAATCAATCAACAAAACAAAATGCCCTCCTTGGTCCCCACACCTACCTATTTCTAAATACAATAAAGATTCCCCTTTTTCTCTCTCATCTAACCAACCTATTTCTCGTAACTTGCTACGTCACTTTTTCTAATTTTCTTCCTCTCATACATCCTTCCCCAGTATTGGCTTCTTGGATCAATGGCTCATTAGGCCCATATGCATTTGGGTTTGTCTCAGTTGGTAACCTTTTCTTAGGGGTGGTGTTCATGTAACAAGTGTAGAGGAAAGTGCTGAAATTCATGATAAACAAGTAGTAGCTGATCTTAATGACCAAGGTGTAAACAAGAGCATTAGGCCCAAAATAACTAGCCAAGGCTCAAGGAGTATGATTGGTCTAGAGTTTATTATATAGCATGTGGTTGCGAAGAGAGAAGGGTGTAGAAAGTCTGATTTAATTTCTTCTCTTTTTGTATATTCTCTAAATCTTGTCATGACCTTTTCAATACATTAACGAGTTTTCTCTGTTTCTACTGTTCATAGTGATACTTTCCCTTCCGTTGTAAGAAACTGAGAGATAATAATATAGCAGAGAATTGTTTCTGTATTAAAATCCTCATTTCTGTTTCATTGCTTGCTCGGATTTTTTTTTACATCCATTACACACCTGAAGTGCACCACCATCCTCCAGGCCGCCATTTGGCAACACTACTTCCTACTTTGTACATCAAAATATTTAAACTAGAAAATGTACGTCTAACAAATCGAGCGAAAATATGTAAATATTAGATAGCTCAAATGGTAATGATCTTCCCATTATCACATCTAACATGCTAATCTAGTACTCGCTCCGTTCTATCAAGTTTATGATGACGGATACACTCCTGGTTTATCTTCTTCCATCTCATCTGCAACATACCTGCAGCATAGCGTATAATTCTTAGCTTTTGATAAAAGCAACTGCATGCAATCATATTCACCTGGTATAATCATATGACCAATTCAACATATTCTGTCTTAATCCCAAATAAACCAATGAACTTAAAATTCAGGGTTAAATGCACTTGTCATCCTAATTTATTAGGCTTCATGCACAAGAATAGCAGCTTAACTTGTCATAAATAACGAAGTGTTTCAAAACGCTAATGAAAAACTAGCAGAAGTTGCTTATTACTTCCTAAATTTTTTTTAGCTTATTTTAATAAGCTTTATGCAGAACCTTATTAAAATAAGTTCTTTTTATCTTATTTAGATATTACTTTACTGTCAAACTCATTAATAAGCTATCATCTGATAAGCTCTTATTAAATGTTTGTTTGAGAATGATTAAGGCCCTGGTTGAATAAACTTGTCGATAAATCCTTATAAGAGAAGAAAAATAATATAAAAAATCAATAAAATTCCTCTTATAAGTTAAAATTAACTTATACTTCTCTATTTTTTTAGAAGTTACTCTCCTTTAACTTCTCTAAAACTTGAAGAGATTGTTATTTTAACTTATGGGAGAATTTTTATTCATTTTTATATTGTTTTTCTCCTCTTATAAGAACTTATCCATAAGTTCACTCAAAGGGGGACTAAATTTTGAAAAAAAATTACTTATCTTTCAAAAAAACTCAAAGTTGATGCAAAAAAATGATTACTTCCTTAACACAAGTTAAACCAGACATACACTGTGTTTGTTTAAGTGTAAGTTTAGGAAAGATTCTTTTGGGATAATAATTCCTCTTTTTATAAGGCCCTATAAAAAAATTAGTGAAAAAATTATTTTTCTAATATAAACAAAACCAAACACGCTCTACATTGTTTACCCAAATGTATCCTCAGCACAGTTATGAAAAAAGCATAAAGAGAACTGCATTATCTAGATAAAATTTCAACAAAAGTTGAGGCTCAAGTTTCGAAGCCACGTAGAGCATTAATGTTGCAGTCTCACAAACCACAGCCTTACACTAAATAGTGATAAACCAATAGACTTACTATTCATCCTTAAAACAATACCTCATTTGGGAAGTTAAGTTCAAGTTCCTTGAACTAGTCATGTCATCATCATTATCAGAATCAAAATCTAAACCATTCCATATGCGACGTTGTGGTCTTATGTCCATGTCCTCCTCTTCCTGAATCCATTCAATTAATAAAATAAAAACTATGTACATTAAAACAATATGTACAACTAGTTTAAGTAACAACCTCTTCTGGAACTTGTATGGTTGATGGTGTTGTTTGAAAAGGTGCACTAGGTGCATGGGGAAGTCTAGAAAGTTGTTCTAGTAAAGTATTCCTGAAAAATCAATTAAAACAATCCATTTTAATCAAAATTAGCTTCAAGAAAGATCCTAGCAATTATCAATAGATGCTTTAGTAATACCAAAGTTATCAATCTTGAATAGCGATGAGTTATCAATCTTGAATAGCGATGTGTAGTGGCCAACCCCAAAAACAATATAGCAAAATAGCAGGGATAACTGCTATTCCGAAACTTATATAAATTACATAACTTAATACTATATATGTAAATGGTCAAAAACCTAGAAAACAAATACTAAAATTCATGAAATATTCGCAGTTAAGCAAAATATACAAGTATATAATATAGCAATAAAAGTCAAAGAAAGAAATAAGTTTAAGCCACTAACTCAATGGCTAAAAGCCTAAAAGTAATAAAACATTAAAGACAAAACAATGTTATCGACGCAGTTGGCAGGTCATGGTGGACAACCAAAAACTGTCATAAAGTTATGGCAGATACCATGGTAGTCAAATATATATATATATATATATATATATATATATATATTACACAAAATATAAAAAAATACTACAAAATGTGATATACAATCAATAATTTAATTGATAGAAAATCATCAAATAATATCATATGCCTCATAACAAGATCTCAAATTAACATAATAGCATAAGACTCAACACGAATTCAATACAATCTAAAATGTATAAAAACCATCAAGCTTCAAGTGAAACAAAGTGATAAAAAACAAGGAAAATAGAAAGATTAATTGAGGAAACTTGTTGGATTATGATAAGAACTAGGTATCTTATTAAGAAGAATTAGGGATGAATTCCAATTACAAAACTCAAACTGCAGAACTTCAAGGGTCTGCACCTCCCAATGCCATAAGTCCCCAATTTCCTTTCACCCCCCCCCCCCCCTTCTTCCCTTGTTAATCTCCACTCTTATTTATAGGCAACATGCCTTGTTCAACTAACTCACCTAACTAACCAACTAATGGAGATTAACTAAGTAATCTGTTTAGACAAACTATCAATGGAGTGACCTATCAGATTAATCTTATTAGCTGCCTTGAAGAATTTGAGGAAGCTTGTTGTTAGGCCATGTTAAGGAAAACTGCTGCTCAAACCAAGGTAGCAATGTTAGAATAAAATAATAACAACAACAACCAAGCCTTATCCCACTAGCAGAGATTGGCTACATGAATCATATGACACCATTGAGTTCGGTCAAAGACCAAATTTATAGAAATATTATTAATCAAAAGATCTCTTTTAATAACCTCCTCTAAAAATTAGATGAAAAATAAAGGAAAACTCAAAAGAAAATGAAAAGAAATTCTAAGATGAGAAAGAAAGTAAAAACAGGAATGGAAGCGAGACAGAGAGAGGGAGAACGGAGGGAGAAATGTAGAGAGGAAAAAGAAAAACAAAATGGAAGATAAAACAAAATCAGAACAAAAAATCTCCTCATCAGAAAATGAGGGTTGCTGGAGATCGTGGTCGTTGGAAGTAGTGAAGGTGAGAGAGGGAGATGATAGGTTCCTGTGAGAGAGCAAAATGTAGCTGAGAAAAGACTGAAAACAGAGGCCAACAGGGTTGAAAGTCTACATTTTAGAATTTTTTATGTTAGGTCAGTGTGGAACTGGGTCAAATCAGCAGATCCAAGTCTTTTATTTTTTTGGGCAAATTCCCAAAATTTCAACCATGGCTTCCACCATGCAAATAACAGCTGCCATGACCTGCCATTGCAAACCGACCATGCCATGCCATATGTATGGCAAATTGTTAAAAACCACCACTGTTTTACGCCATGGTGCTGCCATGGCTGCTATTTGATAACACAGACCAAATAAAAATAGAAATGTATAAGAATTCTAACAGAAGAAAGGGAAAGAGAGAGAAGAAAACAGTTAGAAATCAATAAAACATAAAAATAAGGAAAAAAATAGAAGCAGACAATGAGAGGAGAGTGACAACTAGTGGGATAGTAGGAGCTAAACAAAGGGGAAAACAGAGTACTTTACAATGGACAGAGAACAGTGATTCACCAGAAAACAGAAGAAACTGGTCGGAAAATATAAGCAGCAGCTCACCAGAAAGCCACTGGAGAGCAATGGGTTGATGAGTTGCACAATAACTAAGGGTAAGAGAAAAGGGGGTACAAAAATGGGAAGAGGCGTGATCGGTTTTTCTAAATCCTTTTTTATTTTGACAAATATCCCTATACATGGTTCTGAAACATTAAAAATTTAGGACATCTTTGGGTTTTAAAAAAATTTCAGTGGCAGCCAAGACACATGTGAAATGCTGCGGTTTCCTCTGCTATAGCATCTGCAACAACCACAACAATGAAATGAAACATGACAAGCTCAAAATAGTGGCCAGCCACTGTAGCACAATGCAACATCGCTATAATAGCACTATTGCACGCTATTCACAACCTAGAGTAATACATGAATACCTGATAAAGAACAGAAAATCTCTCATACACATTTGACTATTACCACACATATCAAGCTAAAACTTAAGCATGATAGAATATAATTTTCCTTTTTGTTCTTTAGGGAGATAGCAGTTACAGTTTTCATTTAAATAGAATCAAGACAGCATATAGGCATTATAATTTCAACAAGAAATAAAATGAAAATTATTTGGAGGTCAAAATGGAAATGATGTCACACCATTTAACTTTAAGTATCTAAGATCAATATTACAAATCAATGAAAAATTAATGAGGATATTACACACAAAATACAAGCTAGATGGTTAACTTGGAGAAAGGCAAAAACTTATTTGTGACTGTAAAGTACTTATCAAGTTAAAGAAAAGCTTTATCAAACAGTTAAACAACCACTTATCGTCTATGGAAATAAACGTAATGCTTTAAAGGGGCAATACAAGGAAAAAAGTAAAAGTTGCAGAAATAAGAATGTTAAGATGAATGTATAGTCACAAAGAAAAGGATAAGATAAGAAATTATTATATATGAAGAGATATTGACACCTATTGTGGAGAAAATAGCAAAAAATCAATTAAGGTGAGTTAGACAAGTGTAAAGAAGGCTATTGGAGGTAATTGTAAAGAGAGTGAATTGCATAATTTTTAATCGTGTGAATAGGAGTAGAGGTAGGTCAAAAACTACGGAGAACATTGTTAAAAAAAAAAGATCACGTGATAAATAATATCTAAGAATTAGATTTTTTACAGAGTTGTTCAATGGCACTACATGATTCATGTAGCTCAACTTAATTAGTTGAAGAAAGCTTTTGTTGTTATTGTTTGTAGGGCAATAGCATTTACTAGCTAGGGAAGTGGGGGATTTGAAGTTGGGGGGTCACCCACCTTTGATGGGGGACTTAGGTGGAACCTTGGCTGTTGCCCAAGTGGCAGTGGGCTGCCTATATAAACATAATTTGTATACATATTGTCATCTGAAGTTGAAAAGCTCCATGTCAACTCTGCTGGTTGATGTGAAAAGGCATTTGGGTATAGATCATAGTCCAAAGTTGTAACAACTTCCCAGTGTAAGCCAACCCCACAACACAAAGAGTCTTTTTATATGGGCACTAGATATGAAGGTAGTTAAAATCGGGATTTTATTTTAAATTGTAAAGGGGAGGGAAAATCATAAATTGAATCATAAGATTTTACAAAATTCAGATATATGCTTATAAATTCATATTATGCATATAAAACAGCATAATTAGGGGGAAAAACACCTTTAAATCAGTAAAAGCACTTATATAAAGTAGCACTCAATTATAATCCATATACCATAAGAATGTATAGATCAGAACAGAAAAGATGCAAGAACAGCAACACCAGACTCGAACTTAAAGCAGTAGCACACTTTTGGGTTTAGCTGCACACACTGAGAGGACTGTTGAATTGACAACTTAGGGTTCAAAGCTGCTATAAACAAATTGGGTTTAATAAAAAGAGATATGAAAGAGGTGTCAACTACAATTGGGGTTCAAGTTCAAGAAATAAGACTACTTGATCAATTTTAGAATCAAAATGAAATTGTAAAATCCCACAATTTGAGGGATTTTACAATTTAAATCAAGATTTTACAACGATTTTACTCAACCATGACTTTACCCTCGATTTAAATCAATAAGGCTTCCAAAATCGTAAAATTGTAGGATTTTATGATTCAAATTGGGATTTTACTACCATGTATATATATATGAGAAAATGGAAGTTTTAACCCAGCTAATGTTTGACAGGTGGCTTTAGATATTTGAAATCTAGAACAATACAACATGTCTTCACAACCAACACAACTCAACAACTGAAAGGGACATCTTCCAGGTGTAAACTATAGTTGGTTCAGGTGAATGCAATCATTTACAAGGTTCTAAAATGTTAAGACATCATATTTGCAGAAAGAATGTGACCTAGATAGCACATCTAACTAATTGGATTCAGTGATTAATTAATTATTTGTGGCCAGTATTTTTTCCACGATCATGGTGAGAAAAGAATTGAAATCAGAATCATCAATTGCGATTCAGCAAGAAAAGTAATTAATATAAACTCACCTAATTCTTTCCAGATCACTGGGTGTGTTTAGGTTTTCCATGTTGTATGGATCGACATGAAGGGTATATTCTGGGCCAAAATATTCATAATATTCATTGTAAGGCAACTTATTATTAGGCTCCACTCCAACTGCCACTGCTGTCTAAAACAAAGAAGGTTCAAAATAGTAAGCAATAAAGTAACATTAGGCCATCACCAAAATGCATTTACAGTCCAGCCCAAGTAAAGAAAGGGACCTCATAACACCAGCAACGAGCAACATTCCGAACTGTATATCCTCCCCCACCCAAGACCATTAGAGGAACATTGAAAGATCGTATGAAACGAAGGCAATCAGCATGACCCTTCACCGACAAGTTGAAGCAACCCAGCCTGTCACCAGACAAAGAGTCAGCTCCACATTGAAGAACAACAGCATCAGGTTGATAAACATCCATGACTTTTTGAATGATGGGACGAAACAGACTGCGGAAATTTTCATCATCCATTCCATCATTGAGCGGGACATTCAGTGCATAATTCTTTCCAGTACCCAGCCCAGTGTCTCTAATGTGCCCGGTTCCGGGGAAAAAATCCCCAAACTTATGAAATGACACTGTCATCACTCTATCAGTAGTGTAAAATGCCTCCTCAACTCCATCTCCATGGTGAACATCAATATCAACATACAACACACGCTGGCCACCACCGCAAAAAACACAAAATGTGAACACTATACTCAGGAAGGGAATAAAAAACATGTAATAAAAATAACAAAACAAACATTTTTATTACAAGTGACAAAGAAGCCTTATTGTACATGCAAAATCATAATTTTGATTTTTACCTGCAGAAGAAGTACGGAAAATTAAAAAAGGCAGGAGTAAACCAAGCCATAACTCTAATTACACACCAAACGTGTATAAAGCTACCTATATTTGGATCATAGAAGTGATCTTCTGCAGAATCAAAATCAAAACGAGGAAAAAATTGAAATAGGAAATAGAAAAATGCCTATCACTAACACCCAATTGAACTACAAAAGGAAACATTGAGCCTAACATTGTTTTTTAAAAAAAGGGATAACTAAATAAAATTTCAGAAAGCATTGCAAAAAAAGAACGACAGAGAGAAGAGGACAAGGAAAATACCCTATGAACTTTGAGAAGTTCGAGAATGCCGAGGACGATGTCGTTGACGTAGCAGAACCCAGAGGCTTCGGACTTCTTGGCGTGGTGCAAACCGCCGGCCCAATTGATTGCGATATCGGCATCAGCACGGTTGAGACGGACGGCGGCGCCGATGGAGCCGCCGGCGGAGGCGCTGCAGAAGTCGAAGAGGCCGTCGAAGACGGGGCAGTCCTCGCCGACGTTGAAGCGCTTGAGTTGGCGGTAGTGAGAGTGGGAATTGTCGGAGAGGATCTCCGGCGAGACGGAGGAGAGGAATTCCACGTACTCGTCGGAGTGGAAGCGGCGGATGTCAGCGACCTCAGCGGGGAAGGGGCGGTTGATCTGCATGCGACGGTGAAGCGCGTAGTGAACGATGAGGTTGTGGGCCATGCGAATGCGATGGGGTTTCATTGGGTGACCTTGACCGTAGTAGTAGTCACCGATGCTGGGTTCGTAGAAATACGTAACTCTACGCTTCTTTGCGTCTGTTCCCACTGACGGTAGCGACGCCCCACTCTCTGCCTCTGCTCTCTCTCCGCTACCCATTCCTCTCTCTCTCTCCTTCAATTCGGATCGGATCAGCCAAACCCTTTCCCTCCCCCGGTTTCTCTACTTTTCCTTCCTCTGTCAACTTACCCACTCTACTCTCTTGTCCCACTAATTTCAGTTAATTCAATTTATAAAATTGTAAAAATATCATTTACTTTTTTTCCAAATTATCGTGAGTTTGTCATTTTACTTTTTAATATTATAACTAGTAATTTTTTTTAGTATCATTAATTTATTTCAAATAAATAATTTAAAAATACAATGCAAAAAATTATTTTTTAATAATATTTTTATTTAAAATTAATATTCACAATTTATATATTAAATTTAAATATAGAGACAAAGAATATTATTTAATAACACTATTTAAAATTATAATAAATTTTACTTAGTAATATTAAAAACTAAATAATATTTTATAATTTTAAAAGCTAAATAATACTCTATTTAAAGAAAATAATTTCATACTTTATAACTTTTCACAAATTATAATGAATGAGAGTGGTTTTCAACTTTCATTGAAATGTGAATTTTTAATTTATTTTGTATAAAAGTTGGTAAAATAAATTATTGTTTAAATCTTTGAATACATTAAATCAAATGGGTATTTGTTTGGGATAATGAAAATTTTCTAAGTTAAAAATCATCTTGAAGGAAACTACATTTCAACAAGTTTTGGGGGTCAAGAAGGAGGTAAAGATAAGCCTGAACATAAGAGAATATTGGAAGATTATCTAAGATCTTTAGTTTTAATTAAAAGGGACACATTTCGAGCTATTTTAGGAGATTTTTTATCACATTGTTGATTTTTCTCTAAACTGCTTGAAAGACAAGAAAATATTCTAAGACCACAAAACTAAAGGCTTTTTTGGAGGAGTTTTCACGTCACGGACACCCAAAACTACTCGAAAAATAGAACTGGCAAGAAAATAGTCTAAGTCCAACAAACTGATGGCTTTTCGAGGAGTTTTTGAGGAGTTTTCAGGTCCCTGACACCCAAAACTCTCAAAAAATAGGAAGTGGTCAGAAAATATTCTAAGTCCACAAACCTAGCCGAGCTCCAGATTTTCTCCAGAATTGCTCGAAAAATAAGAAGTGGTCAGAAAATATTCTAAGTCCACAAACCTAGTCGAGCTTCAGAGTCTCTCCAGAATTGCTCGAAAAACAGAAATGAGCAAAGAAAATGTTCTAAGTCCACAAGACTAAGACAGGCTCTCAAAACTCTAGAATGGCTCGAAAGGAGAAGTCAAGAAGAAACTATTCTAAGGCCATAACATTAAAGGAGTCTCCTAGGTTTCTCTCAAAAATACTCAAAAGATAGGAGTCTTGAAAAATTTAAAAGCGGTTACCAGTAGTTATCAACATTCACCACTACGCAAAGGAGATCATGGGCGATAGCGGTTACGAAAGAAGCCCCACGAACAGCACGATCACAAGCAATCGTGGATAGTGAGCATCAACAGTTGAAGGCAGTTACTAAGAAGTGCCCGCAAAAGGAGGAAAACAGTGGTGATCTTCATGTCTATAAATACTCCAAAGCACCATTTCACAAAGGACGACTTTTTGCACCCAGACACCGCACCTAAACTCTCTGAGACGCTGAAACCCTGCACCGCGCCAGACACCAGCTACAAGGAGACCCATGGTGGCCATTGTTCGCCGTTGTGAGGAGTCGTACGTTTACATTTCAGCATATTTACATTCCTGTACCTTTACATTCTGCATTTTAATTCAAGTTTCTTCATTTGTTTGCTTTTGTTCTTGTTTCTGCAATTCATTTCTTATTTCATACTTTTCTGTAATGAACCTCTACGTTTGAGTCAATTCTACACGTTTAATATTCACTATCCTTGCTAAATTGCTGAATTTACGCGTCCATTTTACCGTTACGTTAACAACACACTTAAAAGAACCCAAAGAGGACCTAAATCTAGTCCCCAGATTGATCTTTGGATTATTTGTTTATAATTTTCATTTTTCACCGTAAACAAATTGGCACGCCCTGTGGGACCATATTGTGTGTTTTGAATGATTGATTGCTTTGTTGCATGATATTACGTAACCGACGTTGTATTATGGCTAATAGAGGAAGAAATAGTGATTCTAGTTCTGGGAATGGCAATTCTAGAAGTGATGGTAGTGATACCAACTTAGAAAATGTAAGCGGTAGTACTACTACTGCCGCACAACCTACACCAACGACGGCGTTACCTACGCCGTCATCTCCCGTAGTTAGCCAATTTATGGTTACTATACCACCAACCAATCCCAGCATAAATCCTGGCCCAAGGCCAAGGCTGGGTGATCATCCATTTGGCTTACCTCCTGTGTGTATGCCACCTATCTTTGGAGTATCAACCTACTCCAACCCTGTGGTGACAACCGTGTCACCCTAGAGTCACATCATTCCACCGGGAATGGGTGTACTCCATACCATTCCACCGGGAATGGGTACGATAGGTGGAGTACCTGAAACGCAATTTGCGTTTGGAGCTTCGAGTGGGGATTCACTTCCTGCTAGCTCGTTTTTGAATGTTGCCTTACATTCCATGAGGCAACAAATAGATGAAAGCAATCACGAGATGGTCAATATGCTGACCCATCAAATGACCACTGTATTAAATCCCATAGTGGAAACGACTAATACCAGCTATCAAATTTTGGCTGAACAAATGCATCTAATTGCTGACGTTTTTGGGGCACCTCAAGTCCCTATAAGGCAAGGGCAAAATGTTGCCAAACACCTAATCGAGATGCCACAAATCTTGGTCGAAATGGTCAAATTTTTGAGCAAAATAGACCAAATTTTGGTCCAAATCTTCCGAGATAAAATGAGAGAAATTTCCAGGTGGACCAACCCCCAGTTTTTGCTCGAAATCCAAATGCTCCACTTGAGCAAATTGGTCAAAATTTTGACCAAAATCTTCCGAGACAAAATGAGGGTGATTTTCAGGGAAATCAACCCTTTATTATTGCTCGAAATCAGAATGCTGATGAAATACTTAAGCAAGTTAGGCAAAATAATGTAGGGGGCATCAAATTCAATATCCAAACAACCCAAATCCTCAAAATATTGCCAATGTAGTCGAACAAGTTTTGAATCAACATGGGTTTGACGTAGGGTATGCTAATAGACCCTACTTTGTCTCAGCATTCTCTGAGGCAATTTTGCAGGCTGAACTGCCTCGGGGCTGGAAAGTCCCGAAATTCACTAAATTTGTCAGAGATTCTGGTGAATCCACAGTAGAACATATAGCTAGATACGCCATAGAATGTGGAGATTTAGCTCGAAATGAGGATTTAAAGTTGAAGTACTTTCCTAGTTCTTTGACTAAAGGGGCCTTTACCTGGTTCTTAACCTTACCTCTGAATTCAATTCATAATTGGAATCAATTAGAAAGAAGGTTTCATGAACAATTCTTTCGTGGTGAAGCGAAATTTAGCTTAATGGATCTAGTTAATATAAAAAGAATACATAATGAATCCATTGATGATTATCTAAGTAGATTTCGACAAATGAGGTTGAGATGTTTTACTCAAATTCCAGAATATGAACTAGTCCAAATGGCTGTAAGGGGATTAGAGTACTCGATTAGAAAGAAACTAATTAATCAGTAGCTAAGAGACATGTCACAATTAGCGACGAAAGTGAGGCAAATCGAGCAACTTAAGGCTGAAAAATCTATTCCTAGGAAAATAGAGAAATTTCCTTGAAAAGACAAAGTGGCTTACATAGGTCTCACTGAAGGAGAAATAGGAAGTGAAAATGATCTCGATGAAGAAGATGTCGATTTAGTGGTAAATGAGGTAAATGTAGCTGAATTAAAACCAGGACCCCCTTATGTTTGCCAATCTTTAAAACCACTCAAAATTAAGGACAAAACTCCGCCTAATAAAAGTTATGCCTTTGATGTCTCTAAAGCTGATCATATTTTTGACATTTTATTGAAGGATGGGCAAATTATATTATCTGATAATCATAAAATCCCTACTCTAGAACAAAGAAAGGGTCAAAAATATTGTAAGTTTCATTATGTTTATGGTCATTGGACTAATAACTGTGTTCGTTTCAGGGATCTTATTCAAGATGCTATTAAGCAAGATGATTGAAATTCGAGCAAAAAACCAAAATGCCGATGAAAATCGATTCCGATCCCATGCAAGTAGAAGCTAATTTCGTGGAACCTATCGACATACTGATGGTCGATGCTGCTGAAAAACAGGGGTCATTTGATAGAGCTGTGGAAGAAATAGAGGAAAAGATTTGTTGAATGACACCCTCGAAGCCTTCGAGAAGGAAGAAGCTGAAATCTTCCCAAGGGCTGGTGACTCGCTGTTGGACTTTCTAACTCGAAAGAAGGAAGCTGACAGTGAGGTCATGTTGTGCCCAAGGTGTAGCGCCGTCTTCGATAAAGCGGCGGCTAAAGCCTTCGAGCAATTAGAGATGAAGAAATACTATCAGGTGACCACCAACCAGGTGATCACCAAGAACAAAGGGATCCAGACCCAGAATGCTTCTATCACCATACGTGATCCCCAAACTGTTCAAAGCAAGACCTTCGTACCTGCTCAAAACGTTCCGAGCAACACATGGGTTTGAAACGTGCTGCACCCATCATTAACTCGACCAAAATTGCAGATGTTTGAAAAGGGAGAACCATCACATTCGACGGTCATGCCACAACAAGTTTTCTCACAACCTAAGTTTTTCGCTCAAACTGGGTTCCATAATCCATCTGGGAGCCATTTTCAGTTGAAAAAGCCTTATTTTAAGGCTCCTATGACTAAAACTCAGTGGCGAAGGGCTCAAAGAATCAGGAAGGCTGAGCATGGGGCTCAAGCTCAAGCTCAAGTCCAGGCACAAGCTCAAGCTCGAATTCAAGCCCAAATTCGAGCTCAAAATCAAGTCCAACAAACCCAGGGAAATGCCGCTAGGAATATGCGGCGTACCTCGGTTAGTGTCAAAGTCAAAACGACTCAAGAGAGAGCACCAGCAGTGCAAAAGGACTTGAAGATGAAAAGCCCAGAGATCGAGTACGATGCGGATGATGAATTGATCACCGATGTATTCGAATCAGGCTTTGAAGATGATCTCGAGGATATACTTGGGGTCGTATCCATGCTGCCTGCTGAATATGCCGAAGGAATAGGCGAAGGAGACGAAGAAGACTTCTATGCTGATGACGAACTTGATGATAACCCATAAGGTTATTGTTATTTAGCAGAGGATGGTTCACTTGCTAAATCGTTGGCTATTTTCGAGAAGCCGACACGAGAAATGAAGAGCCATATGAAGCCGCTATACATCGCGGCTCGAATTGACGAAAAATTTCGAGTGAACAAAGTCCTCGTAGATTCTGGGGCAGCTATCAATATCATGCCTAGTTTCTTGCTGAAAAAGATTGGGAAGTCAGAAGATGATTTACTGCCCCATAACTTGGTATTGACGGACTATGAAGGGAAATCTTCAAGTTCAAAGGGGGCTTTAATCATGAATCTAAGAGTTGGGTCTGTTTCTCGAGTAACCATTTTCATGGTGGTAGCTTCTAAGGCACGTTATAATCTATTGCTTGGGAGAGAATGGATTCATGGGGTTGGGGCAGTACCTTCGTCACTGCATCAGAAACTATGTCTTTGGAATAACAACGGAGTGTTGGAATAGGTCGATGGAGATCAGAGCTATTTTAAGGCTGAAGTTCATGTAAGCAGTCTTGATAGCAAAACATTCGACAAGTCTTTTGCTAACATTGCGCCACTTCGTATAGAAGATATAGGCGGCCCTAATTTTGGCCGAAATCCTCTCCTACCAAATGCTCGCGAAATTTGACACTAGATCCGCCTAGACCCTTCGGTGGGTTTTTACGGCTTCCAAGAAATAGTGGAAGCCGAAAAGAATGGAAATGAAGAACCTTGAAAAGAGCCTTTTGGCTCGAATTTCGGCTTACATAGCCGAAAATAAAATAAAAACGGCTCTTGAAGCCGGGAATACTTTGGAGGCCGATAAATTTAGTTCGGCCACAAAATCACAAAAAATTGAAGAAATCTCGGCCCATAAAGCCGTAGACCCAATCCAAGGCCATGCAGATATCAACATGATCGAAAGTTTGGCTCATCTAGCCGAAAGAAGAGAGGCGGCCCTAAAAGTGGCCGAAGGATGGGAGGCCGATTCACCATATTCGGCCATTAAGAGAAGTTCGGCTTATCTAACCGAACAAAGGCACACAAAACTTGAAACATGTGTGATTCAAGAAGAATCGGTCTTAGAGACCGAAGACAATGATGTCCGGCTTGATTGCATCTATGATGATGCACTGATTGGTTTCGAGAAAGATTCAGCTCGAAAAGGGCCAAAAATAGAGGCACAAGATCCCTTAGAAGAAGTGAATCTTGGAGATGAGAAGGAGCCGAGGTTAACTTTCATCAGTAAATTGGTCGATGAAGAAGTGAAAGACCAATTAATCAAGCTACTAAGGGAATTTAAGGATTGCTTCGCCTGGGATTATGACAAGATGCCAGGGCTTTCGAGGGAATTAGTCGAACATCGACTCCTAATTCGACCAGAAAAGAGGCTAGTAAAGCAACTACCTAGGAGATTTGCGCTAGAGATTTTGCCAAAAATCAAGGAAGAGATCGAAAGGCTCCTTAGAGCCAAGTTTATTCGTACAGCCAGGTATGTTGACTGGATCTCGAACATAGTACCTGTGATTAAGAAAAATGGATCTCGTAGAGTTTGCATTGATTTTTGAAATCTAAATACTGCTACACCGAAAGACGAATACCCTATGCCAATAGCCGATATGTTAGTAGATTCGGCAGTAGGTAATGAAATTTTAAGTTTGTTAGATGGATATTCAGGATATAACCAAATTTTTATTGCTGAAGAGGATATATCGAAAACAACTTTCCGATGCCCTGGGGCTTTAGGAACTTATGAATAGGTAGTAATGCCATTCGGATTAAAAAATGTTGGAGCTACATACTAGAGGGCAATGAACACTATTTTTCATGACATAATAGGCGAAGTTTTGCAAGTTTATATTGATGATATTGTTGTGAAATCTAAGTATAAAAGTGACCATGTTGGTCATCTTCGACAAGCATTTGAAAGAATGCGAAAATATGGCTTGAAGATGAATCTTCTAAAGTGTGCTTTTGGTGTTATTGCAGGACAGTTCCTTGGCTTTATTGTTCACCAAAAAGGAATTGAAATCGACAATAATAAGGCCAAAGCAATATATGAGACACAAGCCCCTTCGACTAAAAAACAACTGCAATCGTTGCTAAGGAAAATAAATTTTCTACAAAGATTTATTTCCAACCTTTCTGGCAAGGTTAAAATCTTCTCACCCCTATTGAAGTTAAAGAAAGAAAAAGAGTTTCGATGGGAGGCAAAGCATCAAGCTGTTTTCGAGGAGATAAAGCAATATCTGACAAAACCACCAGTAATGGTTCCGCCAAAGAAAGGTTTTCCCTTGAAGTTATATATTTCGACATCAGAAGAAACTATTGGGAGCATGCTAGCTCAAGAAGACAAAAATGGTGTCGAAAGAGCTGTTTATTATCTTAGTCGAATGTTGATAGGTGCAGAATCTCGATATAGTCCAATCGAGAAATTATGTTTGTGTCTATATTTTTCTTGTGAGAAATTGAAATATTATATTAGGCCTTTCGATGTACATGTTTATTCACATCACGATATAATAAAGTATTTCTTGTCGAAACCTATCCTTCATGGTAGAGTTGGAAAATAGGCATTGGCTTTAACAGAGTATTCTCTAATTTATAAACCACTAAAATCTGTAAAAGGCCAAGTCGTTGCTGATTTCGTTGTTGATCATTCGATTCCAATCAAAGAAGTAGATTTAATAAGTCTAAAGTCATGGAAATTGTACTTCGATGGATCTAGTCATTAAATGGAATTGGAATCAGAATACTGATAATTTCACCAGATGAAATCCCAACGAAATTACTCTTCGAGATAAAATCAGCTTGTATAAACAATGAAGCTGAGTACGAAGCATTATTAACTGGACTTGAAATACTGCTAAATTTCGGGGCAAGAAATGTAATCATTTGAGGAGATTCTGAGTTAGTAATAAAACAACTAACCAAAGAATATAAATGTCTAGGTAGAAACCTCACGAATATTGGGTAAAAGTGAATAAGTTATTACAAAAATTTGACGAAGTCATTCTAGAACATATTCCTCGAAACAAAAACCAAGAGGCCAATGAATTAGCCCAAATTGCCTCGAGATATAGAATTTCGAGTGAAAACCTAGCAAAATTAACAGAGGTAAGGGAGAAGTTAGGGTCAACAAACCTTGAGATCCTAAACATAAATGACTTAACTGACCAAGATTGGAGAAAACCTCTAGTTAATTATCTCAAGGACCCCAACATTCCAATTGATCGAAGAACAAAATTTTGAGCAATTAATTACATAATTCTGGTTGATGAATTGTATAAAAGGGGTGTTGATGGCACTCTACTTCGATGTCTCAGTGAACATGAGGCTTATATTGCCTTGGCAAAAATCCACGAAGGGATCTGCGGAGCCCATCAAGCTGGAGAAAGAATGAAATGGATGTTACTTCGAGAAGGATTGTACTGGCCCTCGATGGTTAAAGATTGCTTTGACTATGCAAAATCTTGTGAAGAATGTCAAAAGCATGGTAATATTCAACACGTTCCAGCCTCAGAATTACATTCAATAATTAAGCCATGGTCTTTTCGAGGCTGGGCTTTGGATTTAGTTGGCCAAATTCATCCTCCTTCGACAAAAGGCCATAAATACATCATTGTAGCTGTCAACTATTTTATGAAGTGGGCTGAGGCAGTTCCATTGAAAGAAGTTACTAAGAGTGATGTTGTTAATTTTATCAACGAATACATAATTCATCGATTCGGTATACCAGAAACTTTGACAACAGACCAAGGAACTGTTTTTATAGGTCGAAAAGTAACTCAATATGCAGAGTCCTTGAATATAAAAATGATAACTTCGACCCCATATTATGCTCAGGCCAATGGACAAGTGGAGGCAGTAAATAAAATTTTGATCAAGTTAATTAAAAAACACATTGGATCAAAGCCAATAAATTGGCACGACACTTTAAGCCAAGTATTATGGGCGTATAGGAATTCTCCAAATGAGGCAACAGGGACAACCCATTTTGACTTGTTTATGGCCAGAAAGCCGTTTTACCTGTTGAGGTGAATCTACAATCAGTTAGATTACAGCGGCAATTCAAGTTACCAAGTGAAGATTATTGGGCCTTAATGTTCGATGAATTGAATGTCTTGGATGAAATTCGCTTAAGTGCCTTAGAGAAAATAATTCGACAAAAAGAAAGAATTACGAGGTCATACAACAGAAAAGTACGAGGCAAGTTTTTTAATGCTGGTGAATTGGTATGGAAAGTAATTTTACCGTTCGACAAAAAATCAAGAAAACTTGGAAAATGGTCACCCAATTGGGAAGGCCCCTTCGAGATTGAAAATGTGTTTTCAAATAACGCGTATTCAATTCGAGATCTTGGAACAAATAGTCGAATCATGTCGATTAACGGTAAGTACTTAAAACCATACAAACCAGAAATACATGAAGTAAAAATAACTTGAGTCAAGGCAAATAAAAGATAATTCGAGTAATAAAAAGGCCAAATGAATAAATTTCATTTAAAGTAGAATTTGTGTATTTACAACAAAAAAGTCTAACTACTAGAATTCAAAGAAAAATACATAAAAAATCAAAAAGGAGGCTTCGAGCGTATTTCAGTATAAACGGCTCTCAAATTTTGATATCTAGTTTCAAGAGCCGTACATTGTGCATCAAGACTCGAAATATCCTCCATAGCTTGAGCTCTCTCGATAGTCAGGGTCTTCACATTTTCTATAAAAAAATTTCTTTTCTTCTCATAAGCCGCACTAGCTATTTTCAGCATCTCTGACTCCTTTCGAGCTCTTTCGAGTTGTTTCTCTAAATCAATGATTCTAGCATCAACCTCTTTCTGCTTCATATCGGCATTGGTAGTCGATTCCTTTAGCTTGACCAACCCAGTTCGAGTCTCTTTCAATTTATTAGAAGCAGATTCCTACATTGCTCGAGCTTGATCTTGTTTAGAACCAACCACAGCAGTTTGGTCTATAATTGCTAAAGAGTCGATGAAAAGAGACTCAAAACGTTGGAGCCCTTCAGGAAATGTCGAGAGCTGAGCCTTGAACGAAGAAAGTAAGCCTTTGATCTTGGCAACCAAGTCCTTGTCAGTTGGAAGGTTCTTCATCATTGGCGCATCAAAGACCAAGGACCTAAGCTCTTCGAGCATTTTTTCAGTTGATTCAGTGGGCTTGGAGACTTCTGAGTGTGACCCTGAGGGAGTATGAGACGAAGAAGAAAAGGTGAAGGTACTAGCCAAAATTTTGTCGATGGCCCCCTCTGGATCTTCCTCCACCATAGCGTTAAAATCATCCAAGTTCATTTCTGAGTTAATGGATGATGCTGGTGGTACAACTCCAATGTTGGGAGGACCTTCGACAGAAATTTGGGGGTTTTCAGGGACTTGGTTTCCCTCTTCAGCTACATTCTCCTCAACTTCATGCAAGGGCCCCTCCTCTTCTGATTGATATGTAACAACATCAACCTCGGGAGAACCCAGAGGCGATGTTTGTTGAGATATAGGGGGCACCTAGAGAAAAAGAAGTTAGAAAATTCACAAGTATGAAGACCAAATTTCGAGTGAAAGGATGCCTTACCTCAGGAGCCGGCTCTGTTTGAGCTTGGTCTTCAGAACTCGAGCTAGAAGAGCTCGAAGAAGTATCTGAAGAAGAACTCGAAGATCCAGAACTCGAGGAAGAAGCTGCCTCGTTCCCTTGTTGAGAAGTAGCTGCAGGTTCTTTTCTCGAGATTTTTTTAGACTCCTCAGGGATTGGAGTCAAACGTTTTTTAGGGCCTTTTCGGACCTTAGGGGGTGAATTGACACTTTGAGTGTCATCAGTCGAAACCTGCCACAAAGAAAAGGATCAAAAAATTGCTTGAAAAGACAGAATAGTACTCGAAAAAAGACAAAATTTACCTCCACTGATAGAGCTGAAGGTTGATTAGGTGTCTGTTGCACAGGAGTCGAAGCAGCCATCTCGATAGAAATATGGGGCTTGGTAGGAGTCTTGGTCTTGGGAATGGCCTTAGCCTAGGAAAAGAAAAGAAGCAGGCTTATAATCTAAACCCATGTCGATAATTAATTAAACCCAAGTCAAAATAGTTACCTTAAATACCCCAGAGGCAGCTTGGGATGTAGATGAAGAACCCTTTTTAAGGGTTGTTGAAGAAGAACCTTTTCGAGTAGATTTTTGTTTTTACTTAAGAGGCTCATCCTCTTCCCAATCCTCTTGGTCATATCGACCAACAAAAGGTTCTGTTGGAAGAGCTGCAAAAAAGTGTTTGAGAAGTCAAAATTAAATAAAAAATATAGAAAGGCATTTCGAGAAAAAATAGGGTAAACCTTACCATCTTTAAACTTTGTAAGGATTCTCACATCTCGAATATCAAGGTGAAGAGGGTAAGGGTAAGTTTTAAAAGAAAATCTCGAAGCTGTTATTTTACTTCGAGGAGGGGATAATTCATTCAAAAGAGTCGAAGGTAAATCGACCCATTTAGGTGAAATTATGGGTAAGGCCAGAGCAAAATTACAGTTTGGTAAAGGGGGAAAAGTTGGTCAAAATTTTTTGAAAAGAATATCTTCTATGAACTGGTCAAAAGGATGAAAAGCCTTATATTTATTTACTCTTTCTTTGGTTTTCTCTCTTAAAGAAATGGTAGCTTCAAAAATGGTTTGAGATATTCTCTGTGGTAAGTAAATAACTTTAAAAAATCGCTCAAAAGATTGAATTTCTCGAATGTTCGTACCTCTCGTCTTGGCCTTTGGATCCCCTTTCTGAAACATAGAAAAAGCAGAAGTCATCTTCTGGTTGCACGCTTCGACAGAAATTTCGTGATGATTATAGTAATTGGACCACCAACTGTGGAAAGCATGGGTACAATAGAGCAATGGCTCGAATTCAAAAGATGAAATCTCAGGCCTACATTTGCAGAAAAAACTTATGGCCTCATTTAAGTCTTCAATGCTATTTCGAGCATTTTCTAAGAATCCACGACTGGATTCATCTAACATAAACGCAGGCATTAATTGGCTAAGGCCAAATTGTCGAGCTACGAGGTTTGGTTGATAGGTGACCACCTGATAAGGCCTCAGGGTGAAACTACAAAAAAGAAGTTGACATGAAAGAAATTGTCTCCATGTCATCAAAATCTTAGATTGGGCACTTGGTGTTCTCGAAGGAAAAGGGCGTTTAAACCAAATTGGCCCTATTTTTCGAGTAGAAAAAGGGGAAAGTTAAGGAGTAAAAGATTGAAGAGATAAGAAAAAGTTGAAATATTGCCTAAAAGCATTACAATAATTTTTTTTGGTTACATTCGTACTCAAAAAAGTTAAACGAAAACCCTCAATCTCTCAAGAGATATTGGGTGGCTCAGAGCTTTGTAATTTTTCTTCAAAAATAGCATTCAACCAAAGTTGAAGTAGCCAAAAAGGCCCACTAATGACTGAAGGAAAGTCATTAGATCTAAATGAAGCCACTGCTTCATTTAAGTTCTCATACAAGTTTCCTAATATAAGTTTCCCAAGGCATATCGAAGACTCTTCGTGCAGCAATTGGGCCAAAGTGAGTAGTGTCTTTGGCACTTGGAGCGATCTCGAGCAAAAAACATAGGCAGAAAGCCACAACATCAGGAAAGCAACATGCTCTTCATCCGTAACAGGACCATCTCGATTCATATTCAAGGTTATGAAGAGTTGGTAAGAAAGCTTTTGGAAGTTGGGAGTCACATCAGGATTTTTTGGATGAGAATCTGGTTGAAACGAAGGACCAGTTGGCCTAAGCCCAAGAATGGCAGCAACATCGAAAAGAGTTGGAGTAATCATACCACAAGGCACGTGGAAAGAGCTAGTTGCTCGATCCCAGAAGAAAAGAGAACTCATGATCATAGGGAAGTTGTAAGACATATTGTACCTAGACAATTGAATGATATCATAGATTCCTATGGCCCTCCAACTATCTTGTTTTTCACCCTCAACTCTATCTAACCAAGGCAAATATAAGTCTTTGGTTAGAGGAGGCATAGTTCTAAATATTTTTTGGGCATTCTCGAGAGAATCCAAGTTATATTTGGAAGAGAATGCCAAGACCCCATCAGCAGAAAAAGAAGACTCGACAGATGGCTGGGGAACAAAAGGACCTAAAAATGCATGAGGTTTGGAGCCTAATGAAAAGGGAATAAGTACCTGGGATTTCCAAATAGCCAATTTCTCCTCCTCGAGAGGTGGCTCAGGAAGGTAGCTCGAATGACCCAAGGCACGAGCTCAGCACTGAAAAAAGCAGAGGGAACCTTAGACTTGGAGGCCATTTCGACGATAAATTGGGAAGATGGGGACGAACCAGAAGAAATTTTGACACAAAAAGAAGCAGAAGAGAAAGAACAGAGCTCTAAGTAGGAGAGTAAAAACGAAAGCATTAAAAATGAGAAGGTAACTTCGCTTTTTATACTGGTTCCCAACCTCGTGCAAAGCCTATACAAGAGCCTAAGTCCAGAGTATTTTGGCACTTAGTGGGAAGATGAAGAGATAGTGGGTTGTCTTTTCGATCTAAAATGGCCTTAAATCCCCAACAAAACGGAGCACGTCTCAATAATGGGACATTTTCAGTAACTGCCAGGCAGCACCTGCATTTAATGCGCCGACTTTGGACGACGTGCCTGACATAAAGCAGGTAAGTGGCAGCGACGCCATAAGAAATGGCGGGAAAATTAGAAAATGAAAATTTTCCAATTAAATATCAAAATAAAAAATATTAAAATCTCATAAACCTGAGATATTAATATTTTAGGGGCATCTGTTTGGGATAATGAAAATTTTCTAAGTTAAAAATCATCTTGAAGAAAACTACATTTCAACAAGTTTTGGGGGTCAAGAAGGAGGTAAAGATAAGCCTGAACATAAGAGAATATTGGAAGATTATCTAAGATCTTTAGTTTTAATTAAAAGGGACACATTTCGAGCTATTTTAGGAGATTTTTATCACATTGTTGATTTTTCTCTAAACTGCTTGAAAGACAAGAAAATATTCTAAGACCACAAAACTAAAGGCTTTTTTGGAGGAGTTTTCACGTCATGGACACCCAAAACTACTCGAAAAATAGAACTGGCAAGAAAATATTCTAAGTCCAACAAACTGATGGCTTTTCGAGGAGTTTTTGAGGAGTTTTCAGGTCCTTGACACCCAAAACTCTCGAAAAACAGGAAGTGGTCAGAAAATATTCTAAGTCCACAAACCTAGCCGAGCTCCAGATTTCCTCCAGAATTGCTCAAAAAATAAGAAGTGGTCAGAAAATATTTTAAGTCCACAAACCTGGTCGAGCTCCAGAGTCCCTCCAGAATTGCTCGAAAAACAAAAATGAGCAAAGAAAATGTTCTAAGTCCACAAGACCAAGACAGGCTCTCAAAACTCCAGAATGGCTCGAAAAAAGAAGTCAAGAAGAAACTATTCTAAGGCCATAACATTAAAGGAGTCTCCTAGGTTTCTCTCAGAAATACTCAAAAGATAGGAGTCTTGAAAAATCCAAAAGCAGTTACCAGTAGTTATCAACATTCACCACTACGCAAAGGAGATCATGGGCGATAGCGGTTACGAAAGAAGCCCCACGAACAGCACGATCACAAGCAATCGTGGATAGTGAGCATCAACAGTTGAAGGCAGTTACTAAGAAGTGCTCGCAAAAGGAGGAAAACGGTGGTGATCTTCATGTCTATAAATACTCCAAAGCACCATTTCACAAAGGATGACTTTTTGCACCCAGACACCGCACCTAAACTCTCTGAGACGCTGAAACCCTGTACCGCGCCAGACACCAGCTACAAGGAGACCCACAGTGGCCGCTGTTCACCATTGTGAGGAGTCGTATGTTTACATGTCAGCATATTTACATTCCTGTACCTTTACATTCTGCATTTTAATTCAAGTTTCTTCGTTTATTTGCTTTTGTTCTTGTTTCTGCAATTCATTTCTTATTTCATACTTTTATGTAATGAACCTCTATGTTTGAGTCAATTCTGCACGTTTAATATTCACTATCCTTGCTAAATTGCTGAATTTACGCATCTATTTCACCGTTATGTTAACAACACACTTAAAAGAACCCAAAGAAAACCTAAATTCAGTCTCCAGATTGATCTTTGGATTATTTGTTTACAATTGTCATTTTTCACCGTAAACAGTATTGTATTTGTTTAATTCATAGATTAAGGAAAAGTAATTTTCAAAAAGTGTAATAATTTTATGAATTAATAACTTATTTAAGTCCTATATCAATAATAAAAATTCAGTACAATAGTAAGATATAATGAACACCACCAACTCATCTCAAAAATTAAAATTTTTAAACATATGTGTAAGTGTACATATTATGGAGAAAGACTTTGTATATTATTCAAAATAGATATTTAGATGACACAAATAACTAGATTTTTCTCTTCCATTATATATGTACATACAAAATACATATACAAGGGACTTACAAAGATAAACATAAATATAATTTATAGAAACAATAGTTACTATGGGGAGAGTTGTTCTCTTCACACATCTCTTCATCCTCTTCTAGGTCTTCTTTTATCTCATTATCATCATTGTTAGTTGCTATTGCTTTATCAATTGGATCTTGTACAATCTACTTATTTTCTAACAATAATTCTTAATTTTTGGGTAATATAAAAGTTGAAATAATTGGAGAATTTAATTTTAATTTTTATAGGGTGTAAGTAACACTATTAAAAGCATTTAGGAAAAGGAATGAAATGGAGATCTTTCTAAAGTGAAAAAACTAAAAATTGAAATAAGAAAATAAAAGAAAGTGTGTAGCTTGTAAAGTCTAAAGGATTTGGAACTTCAATTAGAAGTCAATTGGAATCATATTGGATTAAAATAAGGTAGATAAAAACACTAATAAAGTCAAAATAAAGTTAAAACTCAAATCTTTCTAATGGCTTTACAAGAAAAGAAGCCAATAACTTATTCAAATTAATTCAAAAAACAAGTCTTCCTACCAAGCGAATGAGAATATATATTCTCTAAATACAAAGTTAACTGACTAACTTTTATATTCCTGCTTTTACATTCTACAAAGTTAATTTTTTAACTTTAATATTATAATATCTAACTTATATTTTGTAATATTAATTTACTCACTTTTATCTTTCTATCATCTTTATATATATACTAAAAAATATTTACGTGCATTGCACGGTTTGTTTGTTTTATTAAATTAATTTATTTTAAAATATAAAATATATAATTTAAATATATAAATATAATAAAAAATTTATTTGTCAAAATAAATTATCATTTAAAATATGTATAATTTAGTATTTTTTAGCATAAAATAAAATAACATACAAATATTTTATTTTTAAAATATAAAAATAAAATTTATATTGTTTCATGATATCATAAATTATTTATTATTATAAAATTTTAAATAAATAATTATAACAATAAATTATTAAATATAATAAATTTGTTAATATATGTTTTAAAATTTAAATAAAAGGTATTTATATATTTGTTTATATCTGTTGAATTAAATTTATATGATAAATTATCTATTTATAATTATAATTTAAAATTATTAATAAAATTTTACTATATAATTATTAAAATATGATATCATGTTTTTTAAAAATAACCTATCAGACTAATATATAAAAATTAAAGTATTTATTCATCAAAAGTATGAAGTTTTAAAAATCGCCTTTAAATATCAATATACACAAAATTATATTTTAATATCTAAAATTAAAAATATATTAAACTTTTTATATATAAATAAAATTACCATATAAAAATATTGTAAATAAAAATTAACAATCATATAATATATATACTGAATTAGAAAGTTTACTTTTTTATAAAAAAAATATAATTGAATTTTTTTTAAATGGTTAAATTATTTTATATTTTTTGATAATTTAATAGAATTACTATTGATTGACATTATAAATAAATTAATTTTATTTAATAATCAATTAAGTATAATAAAATTATGTTATTTGGATCATAA